CTGTTTTGAATTTTTTTATATAAAAATTTAAAGTTTCAAGATTTTCACCACTTTCATTTTAAATAAAATAAGTGGGGAAAATTTAAAAAAATTTCAATTTTTTTTTTAAAAAAAAAATCATTCATATTTTAATAAGTTCTGATAAAAGATTTATTAAAATTTACAATTATTTGATTTTTTATATACGTTTTCAAAAATAATGGTGTGTTTTCAAATGAAAAAGATTATTTAAAAAAAAAAAACTTAATTTTTTGCTGTAGACAAAATTTAACTTTGTTTTTGCTAAAAAAATTTAAAATGTTCTAGAATTTTTAAATATATAAATATATATAATAAAAATATATATTGGTTTTCCTATATATATATATATATATAAAATTTTTCATGATAAAACTTTGTTTTTTAAGTTTGGAATATTTTATCATCCATATGTGTTTTTGAGTGTGTGTTGTTTTGTGTGTGTCTTGTAAGATTATATTTTAGCTGTTAAAAATTATTTAATAAAACTTTAACTTCTTTTAAAATAAAAAATTTTTTATATTTGTTTTTTTGTCTTTCAAATTTGTTTTAATCTCAATAAAATAATTTTGTAAAATTGAATGTTCATCAATATTCTTTATAAAAAATTTTTTTTTTAAATCCTTTCATTTACAAAGAAACTTTTTTTTGATTATTCTAAGTCAGATTTAAATTTTTTTAATATTGTAAAAATACATCTTTTATTTTTGATCTGTTTAAAATTTTATTTTTTTTGTTTTAAGGATTTTTTGATGAGAGAATTTTTTTTTTTTTTTTTTTTTTAAAAATTTACATCTAATTTAATGAAATTTCAAGACGATTCTTTTATTTCAATTAATATTTATATTACTGTTAATTTATTTAAAATCTCAAATTTAAAATAGTGGAAACAGAACATTAAAAAGAGATAAAATCTGATAACTGAATCCATTAAAATAAAAAATGGAACTAAAAGTAAAACATGATTTAATTAAAAAAACTTTTAGTTGCGTTTATAACCTGAAAAATTATATAAACAGCTAAAAATTTTTTTAAAAAAATTTTTTGAATATAATTTTCCGAAAATTGTTTTTTCCTAAAATTATTTTAACTTTTAAAATTCAATTTTTTTTTTTTTTTCTTTTTATTCTTGTTAAATGAAAATAAATTTTTTAAACTTTCAATTTAAAAAGTAAAAATTATTAAAAAACTCCATTTCCTTATCAAAAAAAAAAAAAAATAAATCTTTTAAAAAAGAAAAAAATGCTATCTCATTTGTGTGATATTTTTAAAAATTTTTTAAAATGATCAATAATTACCAGTAAATTTTAAATTTATTATAATAAAATCCCCCATTTAATTTCTTTTACGGCTATAAAGCCAATTTTCCTAAAATTCAATAAAATATTTGATTGCTTAGAATATTTAAAATTTTAAACAATAAAGCCAGAATAATAAAATTATTTCAAAAATATTTCATTTTACCAACTTAAAAAATCCTATAATTAAATTTAGTTGCATATCAGGCTGTCGGTAAAAAAAAAAAAAGGTGAAACCTTCTGATTTTACTATAAAAAAAAAAAAAAAATTCCTGTCATATTTCAAAATAAGTTTAATTAAACTTTAAATCGGCTATTCTTCCTCAAAGTTTAAGCAAAAATTTCTTTTTGAAAGATTTAATAAAAAACAAAACACAACTGTTGAGATATCAGTATGTCCAAATTATAGATCTTATCTGAAAAAGTTGTTTAAAAAAAGTCTTTTTCCATTGTTTTGTAATAAATATTATCTGATCAAAAAATTCCTCTTCTTTCCCCCTACCTGTCCAAAATGAAAAAAATGCCAAAACACTGGAATGTTCGTATTGTCCATCCGGTGCGAATTAGACAAAATAATTTCCTGTCTTCTGCCTTTCCGACAGAGGGAATCAAAAGGTAAAATGCTGCTTTTTTTTAATCAAATACTCTACTTTATAAAAACAAAATGAAAAACGAACAACGCGCAAAATGTCCAAAGAAAAAATTTTTTTGGCCTGTTTTCCCTATACCTGTTTATAAATCTCCTGCCCTATGAAATATTCTGTCACCATGGATCCTTTTTAATTTATTATAGATTTTCTAAAATTTCCTCCAAAATAATTTCCGTTTAGCAAATTTTTATGGCATTTATTTAGTAAATTTTTATCCTTTCGTGAATTTTTTTATATGAAAAAAATTGCAATAACTCTAATTTACATTCAATAAAAAATTATGATCTCCTGAAGAAATTATATTCATAGTTAAAATTATAAAATTAAAAAAAACCTTGTTTAAAACATTCAATCTGTAGTCTAAATGTTCTTACTCCATTCAATATTAATCAAAAATATTTTTCAATAAACTTTTAATCAAAAATTTTGCCCTTTCTCCCCAGTGGAAACATGCCAATCATAAAATTACAACAGTTGATTTTTGCATCATATCTCTTTTTGCCCAAATTCAGTCATGATTTTAGCCTCTTTAATTAAAATTTTGAATCAAAACGCAAATTCTTTTCTTTCTTCACTTCTGCCTGCCGATAGCTATTTTTTGTATTGACATTGTTTTCTAAAATAATCATTTTTTGTTATTTATCCATGAAAAATTTTTTTCTGTTGTTGAAAAACCCATTTATGACATTAGTCTGAGAATTTTTATATTATTCTCATAATTCAATAGTCATTTCAAAATAATCAGGCCACAAAAAATTATTTGAAAAAAAATTCTTATTCATGCTTTTCATTTAAACAAAAAAACTAATTTAATTCAGAGTTTATATTTTTCTTTTGTAACATCTGGAAAAAAATTGCTTTAATTTATAATTTAATATTGTTGTTAATAAATAATACTGTTATAATTTGTATACTTCTTTTTCTGTCTTTATTCAATAAAAGTTACAATTTTTTTTAATTGCCCCATTAAAAAATATTCAGGAACTATAAAAAAATCTGGAAAGTATTATGTCTTCCTTCCAATATTATAAAAATTAAAGATACAAGGATATTTAACTCATTTTTTTATCCCGTTTAGAATCTTATTAATTTTGGTTATTTTTGTGATGAAAAACTTTGATTTGAAGATTCATCAGGCTTAATGAAATTTATATAAATAAATGAAATTATATAATTTTTTTAAAAATTTTAAATTTTTTTTTGCCCTAATGTTTCATTAGTCTGTCTATATTTTGAGATGAATATTATCGTACAGTATTTTACATTAGTCGGAAATTGTCCTCATTTTTTTATCTGACAAAGTTTGCTAATTGATTCAGGTATTGGAAAATGATTTTGAACCCTTTATTTCGATCACTATATAGACTGAATCTATTCCATATATGTTTGATGGATGTCAGTTATCAGTTTTCCCTCTGGTGATTCTCAACTTCCTTAAATCAGGCTTTGAACTCACCTTCTTTGGGTCTGTCATTTTCTTCTAACTTCTTGCCTTTATCCAACTTCTTCATGTGTCCTTGAGGACATCTTCAATGAACTAAAGTGGTTATAAACCTAATTTTTTTCAGCATCATTTTTTCCCAGTGCTCATTGATCCATTCAAAAACTTAAGGAATCATTCACATGTGATGTGATATCCACAAAAATTCCACTGCATTGCATGACCTTAAATAAATACAATATAATTTTTCCAAATAAGGAGTTCCAGATTAAGTAATGATAACAAAGTTGCAATATGAACCCTGGTAAAGACATGCAATGATAACAGCAAAAAATTATATATATCAACAGTTTTATAAAGGCATTGGTTAGATCCAGTGACAGACCCAAATGAAGGTGAGTTCAATTTGGTTAAGGCAGTGGAGAATTTTCATTATAATTTATTAGCAGGAGATAACTTATAACTGACATCCATCAAACATGGCACGTGAAACTAGAACAGTCTACCCCAGTGATTGAAATAAAGGGTTCAGTTCGAAATTCCAACCACCTAAAGAAGGCCGGAGCGTACAACGGACGAAACGTTGTGACAAATATGGCGACAAAGATGAGGACAATAGTCCGACTAATGTAAATACTGCACTTGATGTTTATATTGGGTATAAGGATGAGTTCACAGAGAATTTTTGTTTTTTTGTTTTTGACAGAGCCCAGAGTTACAGAAAATCTGCTCTGAATCAAATTTATTATGGACACTATTATCTTAAATTATTTTCAATGAATTTTTATGAGAATTTTTTTTATTTTCATTAAAATAATTTAGAAACTTGCAAATCTTTTAAAATTCTATATTAATTTGTGATGGATGGTCAACTGATATGGTTAGTAAATTTAAAATTGATTGGTAGTTTTCAAACATTTCCTCAATAATCATCTTTCTAATAAACTCAATACCTAATATTTGATAAAATATTTGAATTTTTTTTTAAGATTATTGGGTAGTTATAAAGCTGTTTAAATTGTATTTGTCATGTAATTTTACTTCAATTATCTCCTTATTTGAATCTTCTATACATCAGGCTGTCAGTACATCATTCAACATGTAAAGAAAACTCCCATATTCATATTTAAATGCTTTTCTGCAATATTTCAAACTAAAAGTAATATCACATTTTTCTCAAATAACATTTCAGAAAAGTATTTTGACAGTTTTCAATAAAGAGAATTGTTGTGTTGACAGATTTGTCATTTATAGTTTAGAAAAAAAAATATTTCCAATCAGTTTTAATTCAGTTTGAAATGCAGTAATGTATTTTGCTTACTGGAAATATTAAATTTAATCTATTAGCTTGCAATTAAAATAAAAGCTTCAAAAAAGACCTCAATTTTTTTTAAAATGCATTTTAAATATTAGTTATGGTTTTTTTTTTTTTTTTTTTTTTTTTTTGGTGGGTGCTCATAATTAAATAATTTCAGTTTGTTTGTAACTTGTGTATTATAACAATGTGTGGATTTTTCTGTCTGAGTCAGTTGTCTATGGGGCTCTCATCCCCCCCCCCCCATGTGTGTGTTCTTTATGAGAAAAAGCAAGCAAATGTCTTTATCTCTCTGCCAGCAGCTCCATCATTTAACATATCTGTTTCTCTTGCTCCCTGTTTTCTACCCTGACCTCCAAGTAGAGGTCAGGGTAGCCCTATTCATTACTGACCCTCTTTTGGTCATTCCAGTTCTATAATTTGCTGTTCTCTCTAGCCAGCCAACTAACCCCCAGTTTTACCTAACTACTTAGCTATATATTTACAACGGGAATGGGTGGGGTATATCTTTGTATACAAGAAGTGTTGAGTAGTGTGTAATGCTGCTAAGTGATTTCACAAGTATTGTGGTGGTAGTAGTTGTGACTGTTTTGTCTCATCAATGCTTATAGTGTTGCTACCCCCAACCCTATAGGGTTGCTACCTACCTCCCTCCCATCATCTTGGCTGGTCATGCAAGCAACTTTATCACAGTCAGTAACTCCTCCTCCTCCTCCTCTTTTGTCTAGGAATTGCTTTTTCTTTTCATTTTTTCTTCCTTTGCAAAAATCCAGAATTTATTAATAAATAAATGAATAAAACTATCTCCATCACCCCAAATTTTTTTTTTTTTTCTTTTTCTTTGAGGCCAAAATATAAGTGTTACTGTTATTCCTTTGGCCTCAATTTTATTTCTGTTCACATTTGTTGGGCTTTTGTTTTTTTAATAACTTCAGATTCAAATTCAGAAAATTATTTTTTTCTCTCTAAAACTTAAACCTAGCATTAAACAATTTCTTAAATTCTATTTGAAAAGTAATTTTTATTTATTGAATAAAATCTTGTTTTTTCTTTTTTATAAAATCTTTACATGACTAACTTTATTTTACCTTTTTAAAATATTGATGCACAGAAATCCTGAGCCTCTTATATACAGTGATCAAGACAATAGCTAAAAAAAAAAAACTACTTTTAGTTAAGCAGTTTTAAGTTTGTCTCTCAGTAAAATACAATAGTTTATGTGGTAGAATGAATGTACTGTTTTCTCAATAAATTTTAATCAAAATTATATTTTTATTTACTTATTTTATTTACTTACTTATTTTATTTTATTTCAGGAGAAGACAGTACTGAAAACTGGTCAGTCTGATGGGAAGGGTATGAAAAGAAAAATAATAATGCCTAGCTCTCCACAGGAGGAGGAAGGTAAGTTATCACGTCTCTTTGTTGTACAGTACAAAGGTGATTCTGTATAGTATATTTGTTATCAATATTTAATCAATTACTTGGCAATTACCTATAAGTATGATAATTAGATTAACTTTTTTTTTTTTTTTTATTAAAGAATAACCTGTCAAATCTTTGTTCTTTACACTGATTACCTCTCCACCCATCTCCCTCCTTTTGTTTTCTCTCTGTCCGGTTCCTTGTTGCACCTCCCTCTTTGCTGTTTTCAGACTCTGCATCATTCCATGACTGTCTCTTGACAATACAGTTCTACTCTCCCACTCTCTTTAATGAAGAGGAGAGAATAAATAATAGAATCATGCTCATATCTCTAAGCCAGGTTGGGGGTGTATCCATTCAAACATGCCATTCTACATGATTTGAGTTTTGTAAAAGTTTTGTAGTTAATGACTTTCTTAAGAGCAATTGCATGAAATCTTATTGTTATTGGTTCTTAATTTTTAATAAAAAAAAAAAGTGGTCTGTCAGTTTAATTTCCCAATTTTTGATGGGTTTAATGATTTTTAATCTCCCTGTGTTTTGTCCTTAAAATCAATAGAACACCTCCTCTAACATGTAAAGTACATCAGAGAATGAATATATTACCTTTACACACATTTGGGTTTAAACCTTGAAGAAAAGTGCTACATTTACAGCTTTATTTTGACATAGCAACTGCTTTAGAACCATAAACACAAAATCTAGTTGAAAAAACAATTTGCCTCTACATGATTGTAATGTTGGAAACTATTTCCTTGCACATTTAAATTTGAAGAGCATTTTAAATTTTTTCTTGTCTGGTGCAGGGGATAAAAATGTGGCAGCTTAATGGGACTTTTCATAAGAGTAAATTAAAGTTGCATTAGCCAATCTTTATAAATTCAATGTTGAGGGAACAATAGTTCTACTAATTGGGATGTGGTTCAGTTTTTCTGATCAAGGTCTTCCTTGAGTAGAGAAATACTATCAAATAAGAAGAGGGTAAAATACCAAAGATTTTTTAATAAACTAATTATATACACTCATGATGTGAGTAATGATTGATCTGAAATTTTGAACAAATACCAAAATGTGAGATAGTTGTGCACCTTGGACAAGTGGAAATGTCTCTTGTTTACAATGTATAGTGCTACTGCATTTAGAGTGTTAAAGTTCTTTGTTGTTCTTCAGGCCCTAATTGAAATCACTTGTCCATTCAAGGTTAAAAAAAAAATGTTTCTCAATATTTGTAAGTTGTAAATATAATTTTAGAACTTATATCTAAAAATGAAGTTATTTAAAAGCTTTTTTTTTTAAAAAATTGGCTGGAAAAACAAACTCATGAAAAGGATGTTTAGTAGTGTTTCAGTGATAAACTTGCTGATTAAAATACTTTTCATGAACTTTGCTAACAAATTAATCCAAAAACAAAAACATCTGTTCATTATGCTGGTACTTTGTTTAGAATAATCAGTCTTTTGTTGTGTTCATTCTCATAAATGAAAAGTCAATTCTCTTAAAGCAGATAGATTCTTATAGAAAGTCATTGATTTCTGTCCACTTAGCAATGCAGAAACTTTTATTTTTTCTTGTATAAGTCTTATTCATTGAGGCAATACTTGCTCACCTGACTTGAATCTTTTCAAAAGAGTAAACAATCTCCAATTCAGCCCATACTGCTTGATCTGGACAGTGGTGAAATGAATAAAATCTCAGAGATATTGATTTCTTTTTTCATTTTCTTTTTTTTTTTTTTTTAATCTTCCCAAATTGGCTGTCAACTGCTTAACTCTCTCCAAGAAGAAAAGTAACCAGATTGTTCAATCAAAGCTTTTGTTCTTCAAGAACAAAATTTGACTTTTCATATTGCATGATCATCAACTCTTGTCATAAGAATTGCATGTGTTCAGAAATCTAAAAATATCAATGGTATTCATTGATATATTTAGATTTTATTGACCTCATCTGACATATACATAAACATAACGGTAATTTATAAAATGCAATTTGTTTAGGAAAGTGAAGAAGTCATTAGTACTCATTTTCTTGCTCATCTGTAAACTCTTAAGAATGGCAAAAATCTTTTCCTATTCAGTTTTAGAAAAAAACATGGAATAAATTTAATGCCTTTTGTAGAAGTTGAAGACTTAGTTTTAGCTGGGAACTTGTTGAGTTTGTCTCTAAAAATATACCCTGTATTAAGACATTTACTTGCTGTTGTTAACACAAAATTTCAGCTAATCTATTCTTCAACCCTTATCAGGATTTTTTTTTTTATTTAAACTATTGCTCTCTTATTTGGTTGTTATAGATGTTATAGAAAAGTAACTTTTGACCCATTTTTAGGTATCCATTATTTTTAAAATAACAGCTCATACAAGATGTTTCAGCCAAAAAAGTAATCCTGGACACTTAAAAATAGCCAAAAGGAACCTGGCTGAAATGTTGTCTATAATAACATCAGTAACAACCAAAAATGAGAACTATAATTTAAATAAATCTCTCATTTCAAAAGTCAGTTTTATTTGACAGGCATTAATTAAGCAATGTGAAGGAACTGTGGATTGAAAATTTGTAACCCTTATTCTTAGAAAGCACATCATATTGTTTATTTCCAATCTATGCTATTTAACTATCTGACCATTGCAGTAAAATGCAATAAAATAAGATAAAAGACCAGTTTGAAATAAATAATGACAATGTTTCATATAAGAAATTTGTAGACAGTTACCTTACAGGAGTAATATTAAATGTATCTTTTTAATGTCAGTAGCCTATCAAAATTATTTATATTTTCAAACCATTTAAAATTTTACTGCTATACCCCACCCCAATATAAGTGTTTATGGTTATTTGTATACTTACAGTCCAGGTGAGATTTAAAACCATGCGCAACATAGCATTACCTTATGAAGCTTCAAACAAAAAAATCTTATCTAATTCCTAACCATTTACACATTGTCATATTTATTGGGTTCCTTTTCAAATCATCCTTGCATATATGATATACCAACATTTTGGAAACAAGTTGGATATAGTGACCCTTCCTTCTAACCCCAATAAACACCACTTGACCTCAGGTGCAAAATGAGTAATCCATTAGATAATTTAGATCACAAAATGTGACTTGATGTCCACATCCCCCTCCTCCTTCACTTGCAGTCAATGGGTTTGTTGTTTTCACCATCAAAAACATTGCAACCGAAAGTTGTTTGTTTTGTTAGTATTGAACAGGAGATTGTGGAGGGGGGGGACTTTGTTTTGACATTCCTCTTGCTCACAAAACATTAAAGATTTTGAAAACATCAACATTTGTGGCTTTTCTGAGAGCCGTATGGGGGGGGGGACCTTATTGTGCTTGATCTTTAAGGGTTATCAGCCTTGTGGTTTTAACTGGCAGTAACTCCAGTCGATTAACAACAGACAGATGAAATAGAATAAAAACAATAATTTTAATAGAATAAAAATTAAGTACAAGAAAAATGATTTGAACCACAAGACAACTTTAAACTTTTTTTTTTTTTTTTTTTTAAAAGATGAAAAATAAAAACTGTCATGTTTTTATTACAATAACGGGTTGGCTTCATGGCGGTGAAAAAAGGTAGGGTGATTAGAACTGCTAGTTAACTGTTTTCCAGTTATGCCCTTTTCAACTTTTGACCTCTGTGATTTAATCAACCGGATTTCTTTTTTTTTTTTTTCGCAACATGTTTGAATAATTAGGCTTGCTTTCCAGATTTGTATTAGGAAGAAACAATAACAAAGCTGAATTTTTTTGTTTGTTTAGTAAAATTGTTAGTATGCTTATTCCTCCTCTTACCTGAGTAGTTAACAATTTTTAACCAAATTCTCCAAGTGTGTGATTTTTTTTTTTTTTTTCCTCCAGATTTAATAATACCAAATTATTAACTGATTTAAATGTCAGTTTCATATCTGTTGATGAAAAATCTCAATTTCTCCGGATTCAACTTTATTTTTTATTCTCTAGTTTTCGACAACTTTCGATTTACTGCAAATCTGGCCCATTCCAAAGAAAATTGGGAGTGGAGTGTTTCTGTGTTTGCTTCTTTCGTCAAACTTAACCAATAGGTTGGGAAATAAAACGTGGTACTTGAAAAATAATTACTCAGTAATTGTAGTTAGAATGTTCGTTTTATTAATTAAAAACATTTCAAAATCTTTGTTAATGCGTGATACTGTTCACTTAAGTGGTATTTTACAATTTTTTTCAACAGTTTTTACATCAATATTCCAAAGAATTCACATTTTTTTTTATTTTTCTGTACGTTATTTTTTCATCCTTGTCTTAAATTTCACCTTTTGTAATGTAAATTTAGACTAAAAAAAAAATGTTGTTTCATTTTTTTTTGCATGAGATTTATCATTCGATAAAAATAAAATGGTAATGCTTTTTATAGCTACATACCCACCCTCAGTATTGTAATTTTCATACAAATTTTATTGCCGGACAATAATTTGATAGTGTGGTGTAAAAAAACCTTTAATTCGACACTATTGCTTGTTTGCACTCTTAACTGACATAGTTGATCTATGTATTGTAATGATTACGTGGTCCCTGGTCCCATGTTGGCTTGTGTAATTTTTGAACGATCCAATCTTCCTGATAACCAAAGACACTCTTCAGACAATTTTTTTCCTTTAAAATTTTTGTAATTGCTTTGTAATATGGCAATATTTAATCATTACTGTTTGAAGCTGTTTATTTCTCTATCAAAGCATTAATATTAACAAGAGTGCCTCCTCTAAAACTGCTGATCTAAAAAGAAAGCCTTTGAGGAGGGGGAGAATAAAGAGAAAGAAAGAGAATCAGTTGAACTAGAGTGAGTCGATTATCTCCCTTTTCGTCCCGAACTTGTGGCTGGGCAAGGGAGGTAATTTCCATAAGTTAGCGGTCTTAGCTTTTATGTCTGTCGTCGCAGGTAAAAACGTCATGTTCCTATTCAAATGCCATCTGGGAATCCTATCAAACGCGAGCGTAA